GCACTTCTTATTTCATTAATCACATGTCTGTACCTTTAATTTGTCTGACTATAAATATTGAGTAATGTTCGGCTTGAATTGGAGTTGGCTTTCCAGCCATCTTCCATACAATCTGAAATGGATTCGAGAACCACGGGCCACTAAAGGATACCGAAATCGTGCCAAAGGAGTACAAGCGTGGTTACCGAACCCGCGCAAAGCCACAACTGAAAGATAATGGAGCAGTAATATAGCTGTTTTTAGCACAGTTAAACAAACGAGCACAGTAAAACGATCACTGGTACAATTGCTTATAATAATGATTATTTCCATTAAATCAATCACGTTCTCTTGATAAAAGTAGGTCACTACAATACTGTTTAGATTGACACAGATAGAAGATTTGAAATCTACTTTAATGTCATCATTGGGTATTAAACTGATTAGCTTGTGCGCCAAGTTATTTATTTACAACTTTCACTTCAAAACGATGAAGGAGGCTACTTCTGCCTTATTCTTACCGAGTGGCTAACTAGAGTGAGAGGTTTAGGTTTGTATAGAAACTTTAATTGACAGTGAACCTAGAATTTATTATAATTATATTCAAGTTTATTTAAGTATAATTCTACTCGTGTTGAATAAAATACTGTCTAGCGTATACTCTGATTCCCTATATTTATTCTTGAATTGTGTATCTGATTTATTGTCATCCCCGTTCGTGTATAACACATCGATCGTGTCTAGTCTAGTGGTAGTTTAATCGTGGTCACCGATCGTATTAACGTATAATAGTAATATATAAAGGCAAAAGAAAATAATTTTGTTCTCCTGTTATCACACAGAATGTTGGGGTGAAGTGATTTATAGAGTACTATCCGTTCTCTTAAAACATTAAGCATTTGTCTGAATTAGTGGATCAGTACTCACTGTATATTGAATTTCTATAACTGACATTGGCGAGCCCGTACAGAGTTAAACAAATGACACTAAGTATTCTTCTGTGAAAAGCGCAGTCATGACTTTTCCCTCCTCAGTAAACTAATTTCTGAATAGGTAACTACTTGTTTGAAGAGTTGTGTGCCACGACACTGGATCTCGAAGTTATACCCTAAAGAGATCAGCCCCAACGCTCTAGTAGATTGGACGTGTGTGCAGGAATATTGAAACTCCGGCTTATGATCTGCTAGTAGAATAAATCTTTGATCAGAAATGAACTTGTAAACTGGCGGACTGCAAAGACCAGAGTAGTTGTCTCACCTATCTAGCTGTATTTTCTCTCTGCTGCAGACAGTGTTCATCAAACAGACCTGATTACTTTCCCTTCCTCGTCTTTGAATAAGCGTGATATAACTGCGCTTCCACTTTGACTTGAAGCAGTAGCTGCTATGATGACAGGCATCGTAGAGTCGTATAACCTTGCAGACAATATTAATCTTATGGGACATTTATTTATGAATAAATATAAAGGAAAGCGGGTTATAAAACATTAAAAACAGTATAAAATAACTGCCAAACTAAACAAGTGTAAATTTGACGTTTTTTTATCAGTTTAATTGATAATTAAAATACTGATTAATAAGTCCATGTAGCATTGGACAAAGAAATCAACTAAACAATCATCTATATACTAATCAATCTTCAAGAAGAACTATTACTTTAAAACTCTCTTCTGGTTAGTTATTTGAAGGAGGATCACAACTTAAACTATTGTCACTGGTTAATTAAATGGATGTTGAGAAGTTAACTCCGAAAGTGAAACAATATAATTTTAGAAATTTATTTAATGATCTATTTTTCATAATTCAAAAGTATTTTTTTTGGGAATGCCAAATAACTTAAAATGATTACGAAGGTAATAACCATAATTAATAAGTTCCAACTATGAACAACTTTGTTCTATACAAAATTGGCCCCATTGTTTGATGACTCATATGAATGTGGGTATAGTCATTTACATGTACAAATAAAAACATATTGATTAAAGGGCGTGAACAAGTAACAGTTAGTTGACATGGTTTAAGTTGTTTGCTTAACATAAATGCTGTTAGCAAATAAATTAAGGTGTTTTTCATCGACATAATAGCCATTATTAACAAGGCGAAGACATAATATTAATTGAAAACAAAGTTCATCTAGACAGTAATTTTACATTTCACTTCAGAAAATTATGTTTAAAAATAATTTTGGATGAAGATTCTGGTGGAGGTAGATGACCACAATTGACCAGACGTTCAACAATCAATCTATTGACTTTTCTGTACTATGGGAGTTCATGATTCCAACCCTGCTTTATATACCCAGATACGGTGTGACCAAAACCTTTGTTTACCATGGTACTAATGACCCCCATATCGGTTTTGTTTATATTTTTTGACTTAATTTCTTACTGTATGATTTGAATGGTGCAACGAAAGGGCGAAGTTTATCAGAACTATGTGTAATACATTGTGAACAATTTAACCGCACATACTTATTAAGATATTTATTTATGAAAAATTAAAGGTCAAATTAGTCAAACACAAGAAACGGCCGTCCAGTGCTTCCAGGTTTTCAATGGTGGTCTAGCTTCAACTGACTCATGATTTCAATCTGTGAAAATTTCTAAAAAATCTCCACAAACCCCTTCTGATAAACACAAGAAAAACAATGTTATCACACCATAACCAATAATAAATCAATATTTTCAGGGTAGGTACAAGGTGAGAACATAATATTTCTGAGCACATAAAGGGGGTTTGAATTTTGACTAGGGGCTCCATTAGATCTTAGTATGCACCCCTGAGCACTTATACAACACTACAAAGACTGATTTGATATCAACAACATAACGCGTTCGCACTAATGTTTCATAATGGAGAAAGATGATTTTCTATCTCGTGTGCTCTTGTTCAACCATTGGAATTCATTTGTCCAATCACCCTGACATGCGTACCACAATTGCTCTTCCCTATGTATGTGTGTCTGCACATGCATGTAAACTGACAGATGAGGTGGGATGTGGCACACTCGTTAACATGTATTTTGGTAAAACGTCAACCTCGATAAGTATGAGTTGGGCTGTGTGAAGCCCTACCTATTGCTAGCTTAACTTCACTTCGATATAAGACCACTTTGAATAATATGGATAAGTTACCTAGGTGCTAGAAGAGTAGTAAGTCTCACCATTTTGCAGATTTTACATCGGCTTATGGATAGCCAGTTGTCTTCAATATTTCGGTTAGGAGCTTTACTTTACTCCTAAACGCCATGCAAAAAACAATATCGATTCTATTCGTTCACACATCTCGCTATTAGAATTCAAAATTTCACAAAGATCTCCTGTACTATATGAGTTATCAACTGATGAACAACATATTTTCACCGAATAAGTTACTACAGTATAAAAAATTAATATCGGATCTCACTAAAAGTTTAAAAACCACAGAAGCACGACATAAATTTCCGACTAAATCCTGAGAGATGTGTTTAGTTATTCTTCAGTATCCTTAACAAATGTACAACTAGAACCCTTATCTTTAGGGATAAAATTCTGTGACAAATGAAACAATTAACACAATTCACACGTATGATCGATTCGAAAATCTAACCAAACAGACAAATGGTCTTAGTTTAGTTTCTAACCAGGAATTCCAACGTTTTAAATTCATTCTTATCGACAGCTGCAACTAGTATATTAGCGTAAAACTAACAGGTAAAAGTCCTTTGACAAAAGAGCATAGAAATCAACTAAAACCATTTAGAAACAAAAGGGGCTTGATTATAACGTGCCCAAATAAAGGTGGGTGTCTAGTGCTATTAGACTGAGAGATCTATGTCGAAAAATGACAAAGTTATCATCAGATGACACTAAATTCTCCAAATCAATCATGCATACGTAACACGTGGCCCAACCATCTCAGTCGGAGATTTACAACCTCATCAACTGATTTACCATCATTCCCTGATACTGTTGGGATATTCAGAAAATTATCCCAATAATTATCTTGCTAAGTATAATGGTGACCTTGGACTGTAAATGGACATTTCCTATTGGTCAATATTTATTTCACTTGTTAAATATTGTTTTCTATTTTATGGTACGATGTGGTCTGTTTGATTGGTATATAAACAGAGTATGTCTGAAATATGATTCATATCGCTGAGGCTTGCGTTCTGGACTCAAGTGGCTGGGCTAGACAGGGAAGCGGGACCAATAAGAACTCTAGGCCGTCCTTACGTGTTTACGCGTCTTTGGTCCGATCGATAATACGCTGCTCCATAATCTTGCAGTCACAAGTTATAACAGATACCCTACGTCTAACCTCGCTATTACTTGCCCGGTGACCCCAGCAGATACGAGTAATATTTCTAAGGTATCTGTGATCAAATACTAGTAACTTACGGGTAGCTTCTATTCTTAATGGCCACATTTCGCAACCGAGATTCCTTTAGTGATTTTAAATGCCGAGAAGTTAGTATGTATCTTTGATACCCCGTATCCAACAGTTTGGCTTCACTCCAACTTTGACTATTTAATGGTTTAAGAGCGTGAGTACTCAGTTCATCATAAAGACTTCTAAATCAGGAATCTAATACCAATTCAGACATTTGTATTATGGAGACAGAAAAATTAAAACTAAAAGAAAGTGACTGATTTTCGTGAGCTGAGAATAAAGCGTAGGATAACTTAAATACGTGTTTATCAGGACCGACTGGAAATGAATCGACATGAACATTATCATGGAAGGATTTCTCCACCCTTTTCCGTTTTCGAAATAACAAAAAGAACATGACAGACTGCATATACTTCTGTTAATATAAACAATGCTCGCGTATGAATTGTCTAAGAGAAGTTATGTAATTTAAGTGGAAAGAACCATCTGACTAGTGAGCTTTGATTTCCCATGGTTGGCTAACTAAACTTAGTTTGTAATGTAACCCCCATAAACTTTCTGTGAAATTATATTAATGTACAATAATACTTTTTCGTGCTTGTATGTTGCTAATTGAACAAATTCAAATTGAAATGATACTAAGCAAATGAAAATGAACGAATTTTTTGTATAATTTATTTTTTTCCATTCGGTTATCAACGCCCACGTATAAAGAATTTACACATGTAAATAACAAAAATAATAGAAGTAATATTATGAAATAAATAACCATCTACAACGTGAAATTTAAAATTACATTTCTGTATACACATAACACAAAATAATTAAGATGTAATAATGAACTTCAACATTTTATGCCTAATTAAATATCACACTACCAGTATCGTCGTCAGTGTCATTATGTAGAAAGGGCAGGATAGGACATACATTTAAGTATGTGTGCGTGTGTATATGAGTTATAAATCTACATCTCAGAGAGAAGCGAATTCACAGCGATGAATATTTCGTGGAAAAACATTCACATAGAAAGTGAAAAGTAAAATAACATCCACATAAATGTATATAACAAGAATGGGCAAAATAACAAACAAGGAGACAGTGCAACATGGAACAAAACGGTAAACAAATTATACTTTATACAAATATTCGTCAAGATTATACTTTAGTTCCGAAACTTTTTTTCAATCCTTTCTAGTTTTTTTTGTCTCATTATTATCACTTCTACTTTGGTGTCTGGCTAGTGATGACGAAGGACGAAAAGTAAACGCTTCATTAGGTTGAGTGTCAAGATGATTAGCATAAGGAAGTACTATTGTTGGGAATGTAACCAATCCGAAAAGCAAACATAATCCAACTTCAACGTAAAAACCGTCCAGTAATTTTGAACATGTTCCACCGATATCAAGACAAGCCTGTTAACAAAACAAAAAACTAGAGAAACTATAATTTGATTAACCCGCGTAATTTTTTAAAATGACATTTGTAGTGAGTTAAAATTATATCAAAAGATAGTTCAGCAATGTAATTATGATTAAGGATCAGGATAGTTCGTAATTTTAAACAATTGGGAATCATCTAACATGAACGTGAACGGATGGGAACTCGGATAAACCGAATGCCTAAGACACACCAACACTTCAACACCGATAATTTAAAAGACAATAGGAAGACAAGACTTTCAGGACAGCTTCATATTCCGAACAGCAGTCAAAATTGAAACAGAATAACTCTGTTCACGTAGTAACGCTTAGTGACCTTGAACACAACAAAATTAGAAAACCGAAAACAGACGATGGGATAACGGTGGCGCAATATCGTGGATCGGTTGAAGTTAGACATTAAAACCTAATATCGTTTATGATAAACATAGTCGTACAAGGTCAAAGAAAGTTAATGTGGTTGGTGAGCGTTTCATGCTGTCATTGATGGGTTCGTTTATCGATCACACTTTACACTGAGATCAATTTTAAAAACCAGTATTAAAATTACTCTTGTTTTGATGATGATTTTCTCAAAAAGAATTACTATTTAAATTTAAGCAATAATAAAGCAAAACTTAAAGCCATTTCTTATAGCTCATCATACAATACTACTTGCCTGAATAGTTTTAGAATTCTCACAGGTAGCATTATTAGCCAACCATAACTGTCCATTTCTATAAATCTCATCTTTTGAATATTGTATAGGATGAGTTATATTCATCGTATTAACAGATTGAATAGAATTAGTTCGTAAAGATAATAACCCAGCTTTTAGTAAATCAGCTCCAGAGCATTTTCGTAGAGTAAGTGGTTCGACGAGTGATAAAAAGAGAGTATTCGGCAAACTTGTAGCTATGAATTGAAAACAGTTAACGACAAGTGTTTTATTTAGTAGAGAACAGTATGGATAAGATCTATAGTGAAGATTAGTTGGTGTAACATGAATGATTTAATATGATACATACTAAGGATATCTCTGAGAATTATTCGTCTACTAGGCCATGAAATATACAAGCAGATGAATGAAGGAGTCAAAACTGACTATTCAGACTAACTTAAGCAGACACAATCGCCTTCGTAGATCGTCAAAGCACTATAATATTTACTGGTATAAGTAATCTTAAGAGACATATTCACATGTGTATATTTATATGAAAACAAAAAAGTTACAAAATTGATAGATTTATCGACTAAGTAGTATTTGAATAAGGCATAAACGTTCTCCGCTCAGAAAGAATCTCAATCCTAATTATTACAAATAAGGGGCTTCTGTAATCCACTAAAAATTCATAAAATACTAAATTAAGACATAACGGACCTTGAAAACGTTCTCATATATGGATCATCAAAATACTTTGCTACTGAGTCCTACAGTAGGACGATATAGCTTTCCAGTGCTTTCTGATATTCATTATTTGTCTGTCTAAAGTTAACTCGTGATCTAAAACAACCTGTAATCATTCAGGAAGAGTAAAAAATACAACCCAACAGCTCAAACTAAAACGAGTAGAAATAGATTCAAACCAATAAATTAGTAGCAGTCTTCACAAGACTAAGCCAATAATCATATACATAAATGAAAACAGTAGTAATATCGATCTTTCCATTTTATTCCAACCCAGTAAAAGTCATGCAGACATTCTGAACAATATGAAAGGATATTTGTAGAAAAAATATTGCAATTATCATGATTTAATGGATTATTGAGGAAAAAACAGACTTAAAAGTATTAATAAACTAACCTAAGTTAGCCGCAGTATTTAACAACGTCATATAAGTTCCACCTACAGCTGGATCACTTATTTTTGCATGAAATGATACTTGAGTAATAAACATCACAGTAGAGAATACTGAATAAATAGCCAAATGACAAATCATGATACCATAGAAAAGCCATGAGAATGATGTATGAGTTGTAGTTGATTCAAGGATGGGAGCTGACTCTTCTAATGTATGATTATTACGAATGATTGAATGGATTTGATTTGAAATTTTAAAGTACGGTGCAAAATAAATCAATGGAACAGATAATGTTGCTAGAAGTAAACTGTAAGAGAACGCTTTTAATAATAGTTATGAGTAAATCAAGTATACGGCTCATGTACAAGAGTTATAATAGTCAAATTATGTAATAATTATATAGTAAAAGCATAAACAGTCAGTCAGTCAGTCAGCTACAACGTAGGACCAGGCACATATGTGCATCGGTAATAATAATAATCCGTAAAATAGTTCCAAAATTTCCAGCTTCCTCAATGCTTACCCCGATACAACAGAATAACTGTGCTCTATACTGTTTTTTTATCTACTTAAGTTTAAGCAACTGCTTAGTATTTTATATCTCTACAATCGCTCTGTTGTAAGCTTCCGTTGGCTATATAAACTATTGTTATACGGATTATTATTCCTTAGTCATTTTCAAATAATTATGTGTCGTTTGTTACATTCTGTCACTTGTATGATGTTTGTGTAAAATATGATCACATATATGGGATCTGTTGCGGTCCGATAATTCATATATATACTAGGTGGTTAGAATATAGTAATAGAAGCTTGCCTGCTCCGTTTTTTTATTTGGAATCAACTGGAGATAGAAGGCAAATATACAAAAGGACCAATAACAGTTAACATTATTCTGGAATCAATTCAAGGTCAATTGTACCAGTCGAGGCGTATCACTGGTTAAGGCTTAGGATACAAGGCTATGGTTAAAATAGCACAAGTAGGGCAGAGGAAAATACTACAGGATTGTTACTGAGAGATCTCTGCTTCAAATATCCATTCACCTGTTTCTAAATCATATTCAATGCTTGATTTGATGACGTTTTCAAACATGAGGCGGGTCACTTATTCTTTCAGCTGTAAAATACCGCAGTAGCATTTCCCATTTCAGATTACTTTAGGCTATTTACGTAAATCAGTCGTACAATGTATTCACCTATTTTAAAAAGACATCTAAATACTGTAAGCTTTAAGCAGGAACATTGTAGTGGTTATTATATTTTCCGCTATCACAATACTTAGCAGGAAGGATACCTAGTAGCAATCAAATTTGTTCATTTAAAACCCACTGCTGTATAAAATAAATCAACCAGTACAAGTAACTTTTAATATTTATTTGATTTTGTAGATCTTCACAATTCCAAAAGTTAAAAATGCATTCGTCGTGATATTTGATATCGTAAACCTATATACATATAAAATAGTCAATGAAGTAACATTCACTATTCTAGCTAATGATAAACAATATATAGTGTGGTGTGCGCTACTGATGTCGACACATATAAGTAGTATGTATCACCAATCGAAAGTGGAATGGCTGGAGGCAGAAGGTTGAGAAGATTGAAGGGAAGAGAACGAGAACAGAGAGTGATTGATATGGAAAAGAAGGAACAAGTAAGTCGGAGACGATTGATGGTCATTTTGCAAATGGAGTATTTACTGTATGGTTCTCAGATTTTACTGAGATAATAATAATAATGCCGTTGTTTATAGATTATCATATAGAGGAGATTGAATTTTGTACCCATTATACAAGAAATAACTGCCTATATTTTTAATGTAAAACATCCTTGAATGTTTGTATTCTTATACTCTCCTGTTTCATATACATGGTTCATTTTATCATCTTTAAGAAAGTAAGAACATAAATTCATTTTATTTTGTTTGATTCACGTCAGCTGCTTACAACTATTAATTTTGTATAAAAGAACATGTTCAATAATCTGATCAAAGTTTGACAAGTATCCCTTTCATTTTACCACCAACCATGTTTATAAGTTTGTGTGTACTTGACAAAGCAGCCGGATTGGTCGAACAGGGTGTAGTTTGATTTTCTAAACATGTTCCAAAAAGCCCTTGAACAAGAGTAAGAAGTACTTTAAACAAGGCAAATTACTAAACATATCCTGGATACAGGACATTAGGACGGTAGTTTTTAATCTTTTAGGTCGATTAACAAACACCCAAGCCCTAGTCCTATGAAATATGCTGGAGCCGTCTCTATCAGGCGTCAGAAACTTGATGTATGTGTTAAAAAGATGGTTGTTATGTTTTCTTTACCTTGATGACATTTTTTTCACTGCATCATGAGATTTCTTCAATTCTTTCTTCCCCATTAATGATATCATCACGTCTTTTTATTTCGATTTCTAGGATGGTAACCTTATTGTAACAAATTGAGCTTTACCCACTTTATTCTTGCTTATTATCAGCGTTTATTCATTACGTAACTACTTGTTTCTAGTCCAATGAACGTTTGTTACTATCAGTGTTGTAGAATGTTCTTTCACATAAAATATGCATTTACGATATTCTATTTAATCTATTAACTCCGCCTGTAGCTCTTCTAGACTTACTGCCGGTCCCAAGCCCGGGTAAAAGAGGAGGGTTGGGCATGGGGTTAGCGTCCCCATTCCGTAGAAAACTAACTCGCTAAAAAAACGCTAACCAGAAAAAATAATTCAAACCATTTTAACTCTGCCCTGGGAGTTAGAAGGTCTTCATTTAGAAGAATTATGACGCTTCATGGTGAAAGCCCAGTTGCTTAGGAAGCCACGAGGCCGATGCCCTTTCTAACAACCAGAGCAACAATTTTTGTAGGTACATGGAACGTCCGAACAATGTGGGAGACCGAGAAGACTAGTCAAATAGCAACGGAAATGAGGAGATACATTTGGAAATACTGGGAATCAGTGAAGCCCACTGGACCCAAGCCGGACAGAAAAGGCTAGCTACGGGAGAGATGCTGCTATACTCCGGTCACGAAGATGAAAATGCTCCACACACTCAGGGAGTCGCTCTAATGCTGTCCAAAGTAGCACGAAATGCACTTGTAGGATGGGAATCTCACGGATCCAGAATCATCAAAGGATCATTCAAAACAAAGGAGGGGATTTTAATGAATATTATCCAATGTTATGCACCCACCAATTATAGCAACGACGACATTAAAGATCAGTTCTATGAGCGGCTGCAGTCAATCATAGAGAAATGCCCAAGAAACGACCTCACCATCCTGATGGGAGATCTAAATGCCAAAGTCGGAATAGACAACACCGGATATGAAGATATTATGGGACGACATGGATTGGGACAGAGAAACGAAAATGGACAAAGACTTGCAAATCTATGTGCATTCAACAAATTGGTCATAGGGGGCACAATATTTCCACACAAGCTTATACACAAAGCTACATGGATATCACAGGACCACACTACAGGGAACCAGATAGATCATATTTGCATCAACAAAATATTCCGGAGGATAATGGAAGATGTGAGAACCAGGAGAGGTGCTGACATAGTTTCAGATCACCACCTAGTTGTAGCCAATTTAAAACAGAAACTAAAAAAGAACTTGACAACTGGACAAACAGCACTACAAAGGTTCAATACAGCCTTCCTTCGAGATACTGACAGACTCAATGAATTCAAGATAGCTTTCAACAACAGTTTCCAAGACTTACAAGATCTACTGAAGGAAGAAGAAACTACTATGGAGGACAACTGGAAAGGCATCAAGGAAGCATTAACTTCAACGTGTCAAGAGGTTCTGGGCCTAAATAACCACCATCATAAGGAATGGATCTCTATAGAAACACTGGACAAGATCAAAGAAAGGAAGAACAAGAAGACAGCAAAAAACAACAGCCGAACACGAGCAGAGAAAGTCCAAGCACAAGCTGAATACATAGAAGCAAACAAGCAAGTGAAGAGGAGCATTAGAGCCGACAGGAAGAAATACGTGGAAGAATTAGCAACGACGGCAGAAAAAGCTGCTAGAGAAGGAAACATGAACCAGCTTTACGATACAACGAAGAAACTATCAGGGAAATACAGTAAACCAGAGAGGCCGGTCAAAGACAAAGAAGGCAAGCCAATCACCGAAATTCAACAACAACGTAACAAATGGGTAGAATACTTCGAGGAACTCCTGAATAGGCCGGCTCCAATGAATCCACCGGACATCGAAGCAGCACACATAGATCTTCCTATAGATGTCAACCCACCAACGAAGGAAGAAATAAGAATGGCCGTCAGACAAATCAAGAACGGGAAAGCAGCGGGACCCGACAACATACCAGCTGAAGCACTGAAGTCAGACATCGAAGTAACTACAAACATGCTTTACCTTCTATTCAAAAAGATTTGGGAGGAGGAACAAGTGCCGATGGACTGGAAAGAAGGGCACCTCGTCAAAATTCCAAAGAAAGGAGATCTGAGCAAATGTGAAAACTACAGAGGCATTACACTACTATCAATACCAGGGTAGGTTTTCGACAGTTTTGCTGAACAAGATGAAAGATGCAGTAGACGCCCAACTTCGAGATCAACAAGCTGGATTCCGTAAGGATCGATCGTGCACAGACCAAATTGCGACACTACGGATCATCGTCGAACAATCAGTTGAGTGAAACTTGTCACTGTACATCAACATCATTGATTATGAAAAGGCATTCGACAGTGTAGATAGGAGGACATTATGGAAACTTCTTCGACACTACGGAGTTCCTGAGAAGATTGTCAATATTATTTGGAACTCATACGACGGACTACAATGCAAGGTCGTGCATGGAGGACAGCTGACAGATGCATTCCAAGTAAGGACGGAGTCAGACAAGGCTGTTAACTCTCTCCCTTCCTTTTTCTTTTGGTGGTTGACTGGATTATGAGGACCTCGACATCTGAGGGGAAACACGGAATACAATGGACAGCTCAAAATCAATTAGACGATTTGGACTTCTCAGATGACTTAGCCCTCCTATCGCATACACACGAATAGATCCAGACAAAGACAGCTAGTGTAGCAGCAGTCCCTGCATCAGTAGGCCTCAGCATACACAAAGGGAAAACTAAGGTCCTCAAATTCAAAGCGAAGAACAGCAATCCAACCATTCTTGATGGCGAAACTCTGGAAGATTTAGAGTCCTCCACATATCTGGGAAGCATAATCGATGAACAAGCTGGATCAGGTGCAGACGTAAAGGCAAGGATTGACAAAGCAAGGGTTGCATTCCTACAATTGAAGAACATATGGAACTCAAA